GGGGTGCAGGGAGAAGTGGTTATTGATTGCGAGTTTGAATTTTGTAAAAAAGAGAAGAAACGGATGGAACAACAGAACGCATCACAAGCTTTGATCCTTACTGTGCATCACTACACTCCATGCTAAGCCTCACAGCTGATAGTTTCAATTTTTAAAGAATGATCCATTTAAAAAAATTCTCTCACTGACCTGGTGCATCACCCAAAATGCAAAAGCATAAGTTTTTCACACCTTGTCAAACTAAAGAATGCCCCACTCCTGGCTTTGGTACAATTAATGTTTTTCTAAGGGCAAAGTGACACTCAGTTACTACAAGGGTTTTGTGTAAAAGTCAGACAATTGCTAGTGACGTAGTAATGTAAAGTGTTGGAGTTGAATTGTTTTTCTTTATACTCCAAGAGGGTAAGATTGGGTTGGGGTACCCTAACGGCAAATTGATAAAAGTCAAAATCAGGTGCATTGTGATTACATTTTATATTTCGTAAAATTCAAAAAAAAAAATCGTTATGATTCCGCCAAATTCATAAATGGTGAGCAGTCATGTATCATCCCTCTATCTTGTAAATCTCTTCTGCAGTCTATCTATTCATCTCTGTGTCCCTCTCAATAAAATTGCTGTTCCCTTACCTTTGAATATGAGCATGGATAGCCAGTAACCATGGTAACCTATCCTGTTGGAGGGGAAAAAACGGAAAAAGCAGTCAGGCTCACGGCAGAGAAGTGTTAGAATGTCATAGGCAGGGTACATTAACCTCCATTAATGTCTGACTACTGAAAGAAATACCAAACCTCAAGAGGTTTTGGTCACACTCATTCCCTCAAATAGATAAAACTATCAAATGCCAGCATCTTGATTAAATATATAGGAACAATTTAGCTATTAACGAGGATACTATAGCATTTGAACATAAGCAAAACTTTCATTTTCTCAGATTCACCTCTGAACAATATTCAAGTCCTTCTTATGTAGAAACATTAATTGACATTCGGATAAATTGTCTCGAAATTTGCAGTCATGGTGAGGAGGGGGATGCCAGAGATTCAGTATATGTATATATAAACCTGATACATGCTCCAGTAATTGGATAAAGCTAGCATAATGGTTAAAAATGCACGCAAAAAAATCTCTTCAAAAAATAATATTTTATTCTTTTAAATGTAAATGTTTTACAGCCTTAACAACACATTTCAGATTAATTCTGGGGGGGCTTCGACCCTGCTTTTAAGGGCCAATCCGTGCTGGGAGGAATACAGCGTCCCTACAGAAAGACTGAGAAACTCTATGAAAATTCTCCCCACAAGGAAATTGAACTCAGGTCCAGTCCATACGATGGTGAAGCCTGACTGCCTTACCATGAATACCATTAAAAAATATCTTTTTTTTCTTTCAAATCAATACCTCATCTGTCAACGGAGTCCCCTCAGTCATTTTTTTCTTGTTTTCCATGGAATGAAATTCATCTGCATCTTTGGAAGAACACGACAACTGGAAAGTAAATAGTAAATACAATGGAGATGGTCATTATATCATTATTAAAAGAAATTTCATTTTAGCATTCATTTGGAAATGTATGGCTCAAATGAGAAAGAAAGTAATTGCAAAAAAAAAAAAAAAGGCATGCTGTACCAATTTTTTCCCAAGCACAACAAGGTGCAGAGTGTGCGATCTTTTTTTATATTTTTGTAAGTGTTTTACAGCGCTCGCATCTGCATAAGGTTATATGAGCGCGCAGGACACACCAACCATTTTCAGTTGGTAGTAAATTTTGAATTTTGCCCAGGTGGCGGCCGAAGCCTACTCTTATCGATTTTAGACAACTAGGGGATCTTTAAAGTGCGCAACTTGCACACGAGACCTCCGAGATTTTTCGCCCTTATCCGAGAAGGCTAGGTGTAGATCTTTCCTACCATAAGATCAGGGGTGTGGCTGAAAGACAGCAGTAAGAAGGAGCCAAGGAGTAGTAGTAGAAAGGCTGCAGAAAAGGTCAGGAGTCCAGAGGTGGGGGCAAAGGAGGTGAGGGGGTGGGGGCAGAAAGTGGAAATGAAAGCAGACGACAGAACATTGCTAGACTGCAGGAAAGGAGGTAAAAGGAGACAATTTTAGAGAAGAAAATTTTTCCGTCGCTACCCGGATTCGAACCCGGGATCTGTGAATGAAAGGCGAACACCTTAACCTCTAGGCCACGAGAGTCCCGTGTGTATTGATCATTTTTCCAAAAGAGTGAAAAGTTTCCATTCACACTATGTGGAAACTACGTCAGCACATTCAAATACTATGACCATTTTGCATATTGGCCGAACAGATTATTAATATTTATCCTCCTCATCTCTCCTCTTTCCTTTGCTTATGATTTACTCTCTGGCAACACTTCTAATCTTCGGCGTTTATATGACCTGAGTACGAGTGCCGTAAATGACTGCTAATCACCATGGCCAACAAACAGACCTGGGCTTTATGGTTCATCACAGACTTAAACAAACTAATGACGACATGTCCAGAGAGGTAAGCAGAGCAGCAATAAATCCATAGCAAAGCTCCAAGCAGTAAATTAAAGAATAATGACAAACAACAACAAAATAAATTTTGTGTATAGAAACTTAAAAACCATTATGGCACATATTTATTTGTTACATACTGAACACAGAAAAGAGGAAAAAAAACAACTGGCCTTACTTTTTCTGCAAGTTTTTCAGCCACTGATGATCTGAAAAGAAAAAAAGGAAAAATCAATGTTCATTATAATAATGAATTGGATTGAAATTTTGTCATTAGTACAATCCAAAGAAAACATCACAGCGCTTGCCAAACATCAGCAAATTCTAAACCCTAGTCCTGCTATAAATATAAAATACAAGACCATAATATGTATGTATGAAAGTAGAAGTATAGTTGTCGGTCTTGGCTAACACTGTAAACCCTCTCCGACACATACTCAAAAGTAGATTCAAGGGGAGAGTAATGAATAATGACAAGAACAAGCGTTTTTAATGCAAGTGTTCATATGGTTACATCCCCTTATTATTCTTCTATTTTTTTAAATGGTTAGTGTTGTTATTGTGATGCGATGGTGTGACATATTGTGATTGTTGAGTAATGGTAAGACATTAGTAGATTATTGTCAATAGCCAGTAGAGCCAGCTCTGGAATGAAACAAAAAGTATGGTAGGCCCATTTGATGGGAAATCAGCTGAAAGTCCACAGCTGAAGTGTTGCCTTTCTTTATCTAAGTGTTAAAAAATAGAATAAGAATCACTACACGTTTTAGAATAAAGCCATAAAAACTTGAGCAATAACGTCGAGAAGGCTGAATATTTACAGAAAATTGGACCAGATAATAGAAATACCACTCTTTTCCACAATATGTTAAAAAAAAACACAACAGGATAATTTACATGAAGCCAGGCTCTTACAGCAATGGAATTAAAAACAAAATATGGTATCTGATCAGCCAAAACTCTGCGGCCTGATGAAATCAATGTCCATGATTTAGGAGAGTGACAAGAAATAATATAGTCTTATTTTTAAAAAATCCCAGCTTTGTGCAGAATGGACACCATCATTAACATCTGGAAAAGGCTATTTGGATATGTTTCCGAAAGCTGGTTCTGTGCCTTCCCTGAGATACAAGTTCAGGACTTTAATTTCTATTGTGCTAATACATGTAGTAATTTTTTAAGTCCATAAACAGTCAAACCTCGTTTGTACCACCACCCTTGGGGTGAGTATGAAGTTGAGGGAATAGCGGGGCTGACGGCTCAATGAGTTAGTTCTTGAGTTATATAGCCCAAACTTCAAAATGTCAAGGGACACGATTCTGCTATGCAATCTGTGTTTGAAAAGTGTCTTTTTGTTGGGGATATAAATACATACAAGTATATAAACTTGTCCCTCTCCTGAAACATCCCAACATCCCCATGAGCACCAAGGCGAAGCTCATCAACACCAATTTTTTTTAAAAAAGCTCACATCAGTGCCAGACATGGTCCCTAATAAAAGCCCTCGAGAGGAAGCTGGTCACATGCAAAATCAAATGTCTAAGAAGAGCGGTAAAAAGACAAGACGAGACTAAGATTAAAAATGAAGTCATAATAACAGACATGGTAGGAGCAACACCAGTCCTACCACACACTGAGAAACAGAGAATCAAGTGATTCGGATTCCTCACAGGAATGCCTTCAAACCAACCAACTCTGAGGGCATACAACACTAAATATATACTTATTCTGGTTGGAGAATCAGAGGAAGACCAAGACGACGCAGGAGAGAATCTGTGGCAGACACCCTCAGAGCTCACTGGATGTCCCTCCTACAGGCCACTCGCTTTGCTAGAGACAGACTGTGTCTTCCCGCGACACCCACCCGTACAAGCGGAAGAAAAAAGTAAAGTAAGTATAGTATAGGCCTATAGAACATATGCACATGCATGTATGTATTCAGAGCCAAGAGTCTTCTTTCTCTCTATCCCTGTTTTTCTCAAGGGAGAAAGATTACGAAGAAGCCAACCAGTGTGTGTTGTGAACTGTGTCCAGTGTGTACCTCTGGCACTCAGTTGGCTGGCCGTATGGCGGACAAATTTACATTTGTTAAAATAGGGACCGAACAATTATCATGTGCAGTTGATGGCGCTGGTGTGAACACGTAAATACAACATTACAGGCACTTCTTTTCCTACTATTGGCAACACCTGGCGGTACAGGGGGGTGGGGGTGGGGGGGGGGTACAGTAACGAGGTTTGACAGTAGGCCCTACATTACTACAATAGCTTCCCTACTACAAGGCCTACCAAATAAATTATTTTTGTATCTATTCATTCAGAAATGCAGGTTCTGGTTTGCGGACCTAATAAGGTTCATCTTTGATTTAATTAAAAGTGATTGAAAGCACCTTGCTTTGACTACAGATACATATACAGTTTTACGGGTGTATTGCAGAAGCACAGCGTAAACAACACCATAGGCCTAATATGCCTACCAGTACCACAATCCATCGACTTACTTGCCACTGCCACTGACTCCCATTATCACCAAAACTACCATCGTGATGATTTGTTAGCAGTGGTCCGTAGATTCTATATTTTCAAAAAGTTTTTGAGATGTCCGTTTATTCAATCTAATGTCATACCTCCATGATGATTTTCTCACCCGCTAGATCTACTTATTTGGAATTTTTCATAAGTTATCATTGCGAACAGTCCAGATGGCTCCAGTCTGTGGCTTCGTTCAGCTGAATCATGCATGGCATTGTGTATACACAGAGTACACATGACCTTCGACCTATCTGACCTTTCAACCGACCTGAATTGAACCGGCAACTTTTGATTGATTTTTGTGTGATCCATGTGAAGCTCTGTTAGCTGTTACTACACGAGAAAAAAGATGATTTTTTAATGAATATCACTTTCATTATAGATCTAGATATATTTACATGGAGCTCAGTTTGAGGTAAATCAGTGACGAGAATTTATCCTTCTCTCTCGCTTTCAGACCTACAAGGGCCTACACATTACTCTTCTATTTTCGTCACGTGACCAGGAAGCGCCATCTTGGTGTGCACAGCCGTGGTCAGGGTGGGTTCCTTCTTCTGCTAGGCAAGCTTTCGGTGTCACTTCCGAGTTTCAGGACGCGTAGCTGCCGACGCTGTGACGCTCGAACGCCCGGAGGCCTTTTGTTGATTCTGAATGATCTAGAACTGTAACAGTAAGCTTACTAAACCATCATGTTCCGCAAAAGGAGCAAAAGTGACGTGCAGACGGAATATACTTGCAGCATCCGATTTCTTGATGACACTGAATCGATCCAGCTGACTTTCAAGGTAAGAATCTCTAGATTTTAGTCTGCTAAATCTACGATAATAGGTTGCCTAGACTAGGCTAGCCCTAAAAAAATGTGAAACGCGCGCACACACATAACTCCCACTCAACATGCTTTAAACAATGCGAATCAGTTTTTATGTAGCTTCTACTCAGTAAAATACAATCCTCTTTTCACAATATAGATCTATAGACAAGATCTTATGTTCTTCAGAGATAAGACTAGAATCTAGAATACCGTGCCGGTGCCTCTCTGCATGGAAGACTGTCGGTTGTTAGATCCATCTGGCATCAGTAGTTTCTTGGTCTAGCCTACTGGATGGCTACTGTGGTAGCTCTAAGTTCGGCTAAGGGCAGGCTAGGCCTAGGCCTTCTGACTGTATCCTTGCCGTCTCTAGTTCATCTGTTGAATGTAAGACACTATTCTAAAAAATGTGTAGTGTATTCTTGTTTTAATGCCACTAGACTAGAGTAGGCTACAGTGTTTGTGTTGAAACTACCAACTTTCTTTCTGTTTTGTGGTTGGTGCAGATGATATCTCGGTGCTTTTTCGGTAGTTCCCACCCCCTTTAATTGAGCCTAGATCTACATCGAGATCTAGATCTATACATTTGATGCGCGGCGAGCTAAGATATCAAACCTAACAACTGCAAAACATCAAATTATGGTAAACCACCATATTTTTTGTCGCAGCGTATTTTTATTAGGTCTGGGGGCAACCCCCCGCCTGAAACCCCCCTACTCTTGAGGCCAAAACCGGCGAATAACAATTGCGGGGTGGGAACTTACGAAAAAGCGCCGATATCTCTCCGGGAGTCTCCCCCCGCCCCCACCACCCCCACCTTTTTTCGCCAATGTGGTCAAACAGCAGGTTCAGCAATACAGCCCATTTCTTTCCTTGTGCCTACAAATCAGAAAAAAATCAGAATGAATTGTTGCTGTTCAGAAAGACTGATCTTTTTATGGTGGTGACATTCTGATTTTCATGTCCTGTGAGTGACCAGTTACACATATTTAACCTTTTTCCCTTTTTATCATTATCTTACTATCAAACAATAATTACATTGAGTCCCTTCCCACCTAGTTTCTATATTATGAAATTTTGTTCTTACCTTACAGATTTCTACTTCACTTATGTAAGCTTCCCGTTCTGGACTGTTTCTCCTCCCCCCCCCCCCCCCCCCCCCCCCACCACACACACACACACTCTCACACACACACACTACTACTACTCTCTCCATGCTTAAGTCTTGTTAATGTATCTTTGCCGTTTCTCATGAGGAGAAATGGCGTAGTCATTGTTTTGATGAGGTTGCCTGAAGGAGCTTTCATGTTTTTTCTTTTGGTTTTGTTTCTTATTTTTTCGTTATTGCTATTTTTAGAAAAAGTTTTCTCGTTAATTTTTTTCAAATACTGCTCCTGTCTGGGTGGGCATAGTTGCAGTCAGAGAATTCTTCACTCATGGTCTGTGATAAGCAGCAGTGGTCCAGTTTGGTTGCCAAGACATACACACACATCAACATCCTACAGGTCTTAGCGGTGACAACCTTTATATTGGCAACAAAATTTACTTTTTTACTTTTCTACAATATCAGTATGATCAGGGTATCTCAGTTTGTGGTTACACATTTTTGCAAAGAGAAGCTGAGTCTAATGAAATATAAGAAGAAGTTGTTGAACTTGTCTAGAAATTATAACTGCTCCCTGTGAAAGAATCCTCATACCCTGCAAAGTTTAAATAAAAGATGTCTGTAATGTTGCCTAAATTAACTGGCTGAGCCAAACAATGATGTAAAAATGAGGCTCGGTAAGCCAGAGTCTAAAGAGGAGGTTGCGTGTGGGCTGCCAGAATTTCACCTTGAGTTGGACACTTCTTTTTGATAAAGCTAGATTTTTTTCAAAATCTTTCAGATTGATCGTTGTCATAAAAAGAAGTGTAATTTTAACCAACTTCGCTTTGAAAAAATAGCCTGCTTTGAAAAGGGCAAGAGAATTTCATCTATCACATGACTGGCCTCCAAACTGTCTGTCTCATGTGACACGGGTTAAATATCTGTTGTGTGCATCCATGCCTGTGTCGTGCATGTATGTGTGCAAGCACTGTGTTCATTTGCATGGGCTTGGTTCAGTGATTTTATCACACACAGATTTGGGATGTGTGAAATGCTGCCAGCTCGGCCTCATACTTGAACTTTGGAGATGTTCAGACTTACAGGGCTGTGTTGCCTAAATTTTATAAAGTGTACACGATGTCGCTCGGAAGAGGTGGGGAGGTGGGATGGATTAGAAATAAATGTTCCAGCTTCCAATGAATCAGAACACAGTATTCAAAATTACATATAAATCATGTTCGTTTAAAACAGAAGGGCATATTCCATGAGCAATCATCTCTGAAAAATGACCTTTAGTAAGCTTTCCCAGTTTGGCCCGCAGATTAGGTTCTTTAGAGGTTATTGTACTATAGTACTGTACATGTATTATGGTTTGTATTTTGATGTTCATAATGCCCTTAAACTTTTTGCGATCTCACAATGTGGGTAAAAGAAAGCTTTTAAACGCCGGGCACTACTTTGCATTCTGGAGTAGAGCCTCCGCAAATAATGCCGATAATGTCTTTTTTTAAATAAACACTTACGACGGCGAAAGTGTCTGGGGAAGGGGTGGATAGGGGCGGGATGGGAGGAGGGGGGGCGTGCCCCATGCTTTCGAACCGCGACTTGACATGATCTCCCGAGTGTGACGGGCCCGGTGTGTTTGCTGTTGCGTTCGTGAGAAGTGGTGGTTTTTGCTTCTCTCTCTCTTTCTTTCTCA